AATTAGACCAAACCTCTGTACAATGTTGCACTAAACAGAGATASCACCTTCCCCCAGGTCTGAGCTGGTACAGTCAGGAGCCTGCCTCACTGAGCTTCGTTAACCACCTGCAAAGAACTAGACACTGCTACAATTTCAGTGTGCACAGTGACTTTAAGGTTTGAGATCATCACTGGTATATACAACTTCTCTCGAACAGTTAAAAGAGGAAGCAGAATAAAGAAATACAGCCCAGTTCTCTGCTCTCCACTCTTACAACATAGAGGAAGAAGTAATACCAAAGCCTCACTTCATAAACAGAGCATCTATCTCTGTATTTTTTCAACACTGAACACCACTAAATGGTACAAACACAGTATTACATACTACTGAATTACTGAAAAAGACTWAAACCTAATAAAGATCTGGACACAAGTAGCATAGCCCAGCAGCTCTTTCTCAGCCTGGCTTTCACAATCCCATACTTCAGTTCAGTGTCCCGAATCCTCTCCCAGGTTCACATGGGCTGCTCTAGTACTGGACCCACCAGCAGCATCATGCTCTCGCTTAGCAGAGCACAAARGCCTAGTTCATTTATGACTCAAGTTAATTTTTTAATTCAGTCTTTGCTATGAGATGTTCTTGTCTCCCAGYAAAGCCTATTAATGGTGTGACACTGGAGAAGGGCTGGGAAGCGCTTATCCTGGGGTGTGAATTCTCAACAGCTTCTGTTTTCCTCCGACATACCAGCTTAAGCGTGGCTCTTTCCCTTTCAGGCCTCTGCTAATCCTCTGGCTTCACACTGCTCCYGCCTGGACACGTCTGTCTGGGAGCAGGGTCTCCCCAGCACAGTACTACCTCCCTGACRGCTCTCACATACCTCTTTTTGCATAAGGATTCTAATCTAAACTTTGTTTAATTTTAACTGATGCTCCTCCCTGTGCTGCTGTGTCAGAGCCAYTCCAGAGCCCATGTTTCAAAACAGCTGGATTGGAAAGAGGTGAGGTGGGGGGAAGGGGAAGARAGAGGAGACAGGAAAATAAAACAAATAAAATTGCTTTTTGTCTCTAAAACCCTCTTTTTAACCCAACAAGCGTCTCATCCAATGAAGCATGATAAGCATGAAGTGTTATATAAAGAAGATAATTATAAAGGGATTTAATGCTTGGCAGGCTCGTATTGCAAGGTTCAGAGCAGAGGTAGCATACTCACTTAAACAGCCTTGTGTCCGGGTTTGCTATTATGCGGGCAGCGTGGCTGGGGCCAAGYGGAATCAGAAACAAGATTTGTTTAAAAAAAAAAAAAAAGCACAGCCCCCTTCCCAACGAGGATGGCAGTTTCAGTCCCACCTCCTTCCACTTCTGTCCCATCCCTGATTAATGATGTTGTCTGCCTGATTTATGACCCACCCCAACAGATTAGAGTTTCCCTCTTCAACCTCCCCCCCTTTCACCCCTCCCAGAAGGCACAGCCACACTCCGCTGGAAATATTAGAGAATTATTAAATAAACATTCATACGTCATGTCTCTTCCCATACTGAGCTCATCGTAGTCAATGCTCAGCGGCCRGGTCCTGTTTGCTTTGGGGCTGACACCAAACAGCTGGAGTGATTCATGGAGAGGCTGGCTACAATGCTCTGTGCCATATATCATGCTCGCAGCGCTCCCTGCCCCGGCGGAGATAAACTGATCAACCACAACGGGCTGGAATGAATTTATGACAACACAAAATTGAGGAAAACAAATGGGAGGTGACCCAGTGGGCCACTAACCCAGACTCTCTCGCTGGCCTGCAATCTAGTCTGGTGGCAGAAAGCAAAATTGAACATTGGCACTCTGAATTAAGATGCTGGCTTTTAACCCCGGGGAACCTCGGTTTCAAAATGGCACCAGACCCTCACAAGGCAGGGAGGAAGACTTCTTGTGGGGAAGGTGCTTTTTGCAGCTCTCTGTGTGCAGCACTGTGTCTGCTGAGAGTCTGACATCAGTGGAGGCACCAGGGAGGGTGCCTGGGCAATTAGGGACCAGCTGCTCTCTCTGAGCAAAGCTGCATCTCAAGCTGACGTAAAGGAGCGTTGCACTGGCTGAGCTTTGTCTTGGCAGTGGCTGGAGTCTCAGCAGACAGGCAGGGCTCAGATGGAGTGATGCTCCTTCACTTCTCCCTATGAGCCTTCAGCACCCCAGGGTGTCCTCCAGATACCTTACATTGGTGACATTAGAAAACCTCAGCCCTGAGACACTCTGCAGTGCTGAGAAGGAGAGCTGGGACCWGCAMCATGYCTCCTACTACCTSCAKCTGCCACCTGAAGTTCAACACTACRCACATRAGATCAACACRTCCAAGTTACTGATGATCTGRYACAGCACAAGTAATGAAGMAACACAGACTTACCCCAAACTCCACCTATCTGTTCTACATGCAAGAGACTCTCCCACAGAAACCCATGTTTAGATTAAATTAACTTGCTCAAGTGAAGAATTTCATCTGCGTGCCAAAAGGAGAACTGCTCACTGTACTGTATTAATGGATTAAAAACCAAACAAAAACACACTACTCTCTTTGCCTGGACTTATTTTTGGAAGAGGGGAGGAAAAAACGTCATTCTTAYGAGAGAAGGATCAATAGGCAGATCACTGCTAACTCTATTAGCTACTGCTCTAAACAGAGAGCATGGCTGACACAGGTGCTAAGCCATGTGCTTCTGGACAATTTTAAAAATGCTAATCAGATGCTACACAAGGTTTAACATGCCAATCAATAACGCTCAGATTTAAAGGCAAAAATTGAAGTTACAAACAATGGAGTAAAGTGATGCTGCCAAAAACTTCCTATAAGCACCACCCAAAACAAGAAAAATGAAACCAATTTAGCTCCAGATTAAGAAACAGGAACTAGAGATGAATCAATTTAGCCTGTTGGGCTGGGTCGCCATATATCATGGCTCAGCAGTGGAGTGGGAAGCAGCCAGACAGTGAGAAACCCTTCCCCCTCCTTTTCTGTAGGCTTCTAGCTCTGATCCCTGTTATCAATTAATTTAACAGAATCCTTCTACACAGACAAGCACACAGAGCATTCAGACTCCTTAAATGGCAGGACAGAAACTATTTATCACACATGAATCTCAAAGGAAAGGAGAGAAAAAAAACCCCAGCAGCTAGGAATTCTCCACCTGAAACACCATCTTGCTTTCTGAACCTCAGTGAAATAAAGTATCTTAAATAAAAAGGTCCTCTGCTACTTTCAAAAATTAACATTATTGGAAAGACTGAACAAGACATTTAAGGAATTTCCTGTAATTTCTATTTTTACTGACTTTTAGCAGAATGGAAGCTTTAGCAGGCAAGGTTATTGCAGAGCAAGGTGTGTGTGCATACAGATGCATACACATACACGCTCTCCRCACTTCACAGCAGCGTTAGCACAAGAGTTGTTTGGAAAGGATTCTGGGACCCTTCAAAGGGTGCTAGCTAAAGCCTCTTTGATCAGATTATTAAAGCTATGTCAATTTTATCACTTGAGCTCAAGTGTTCTGGAAAATGTCAAATCCTTTCAGCTCCTACAGTTTAAAGATTTTCAATAGGAGTGGATCTGGGAGGGTGGAGGGCTGCTTGGCTGACAGGCACGAGGCCCAAAGGGAAGCCAAGCAGCAGCTGAGACAGAGGCTGACAGATTAGGGCAKAAGGGATGAGTCCTTGCCACCAAGACAGCATGCAGTGGCTGGCTCACTCCAAGGACAAAGCTGGTTCTGCACTGACCTGCAAGCTCACAGACTCAGTGGTCCTTGGCCAAAGTCTGCTGACCGAGAAGCATCGAATGGCAGMCAGCCAACATTTGGGACACGCTAACAAAAGGCATGTAGAAAGGTAAGTGCCAAGATGGCAAAGCAGTGTTAAAGTTCCCCCTGCAGCAGGGAGTTTCCCCAGTTAACTCTGACTGTGAACATATGCTCTGCCAGACTGCCTGAAATGTCAGGGATCCCAAAATGTGCCAGGGACACAACCTCTAAAGTCAGGACCAGGAGCAGGAGGAGAACARACTGCATTAGAAAAATGACAACTTTCTGTGAAGTCAGCTTAATGCTACACCACCAGATTTTTCCCCACCCCAAATTATCCATGGACTTCAGCCCAAAATGTAGTATTTAACCCACCATTTACATCATTGCTTCCACCTCATTCAAGTTGTTTAGTCTCTCAGTTGCTCTTGAGGCAACATTGTATATCAGGCAATAATCAACTTAAAATACTGCCCCATCCCAGATAACGCAGTCTGTCGCAGAAGAAGAGCCTGTAGTTTTAGGCTTGGACCATCAAATCTGCCCAAGCAAAAAGTCACCCTAGCAGCGTGCAGGAGGCTCAGAATACAGGTAGCTACTTAGATGAACAGTGCAGATAAACCCATCCATTTCTTTCCAGAGTAGAGTGCAGCACATTCAGTGAGCAGAAAGGGACAGGAAACGAGATGTCCAGCAGACCCCGCACTACTGTACATTCAAACACTGGGACTTAAACTTCTGAATCATTGATAARGCTGCAGGTAAAAACTCAGAAACTGAGACATTTCTGTTAGGAACCATGGAGAGGCCCAATACAGACATCTTAAGGAAAAAGAAATTCCCTCTGTGATACTTCTGCCAACTTAGAGCGCTGCTGGGAGGAAATTCCCTTTTGTTGGAGAGATGAAAGGTGGAACATGCAGAAAGAAAGCATGGGTATATCTATATGCATAACTTAAAACAAGGCAATTTGCAGTGGAGAAGCCCTTTGGAAGCTGTGCTCAATTCCTGGTTACTGGGTACCTGCCCACACAGGTATCTTGTGGAGAGCTCCCCACCCCCTTGTGAACACAGCAGTGGTGAGTCCTCCAAGGTCAGGTTTTGTGCTGGAGCTCAGCTTTCCTTCTCAGTAGTAAAATCTTCAAATATACCTACCTTCAGATTAACACTACTGCTGGGAGCACCAGATGGGATACTATGGTTTTCTAAAMCAAGAAAAAGGGAAGCTACCCACTTCACACTCACTTTTCAATGTCACTGTTCTTACAGGTCTTCTGCATGGTCTCCTGTTTACTGCTTTCACCATTACTCGTTGAGGGCATTTCTGTTGAGGGAAGAACAGAAAAATTAGWAAGAGAACATTAGATCATTGCAGTGAAATAGTCTGAGCAAGTCACAGTTTCAGAGGACCCCAATGAGTCATTTTCATGCCAGTTCTTGGTAAGAGAGAGAASTGACTGATGCAAAGTGTCCCTGTCTGGCAGAGACCCCTCTCTGGACAGTGTATTTCTATGATTCAGGGCTCAAAATACAGCTACTGGTCCCTCCCCACTACACAGTGACCTCAACCTCACTTAACGTACCCATTGTTCAAGCCAGGATTTAATTCACAAGGGTTGATGCAGCTGCCACATGAAAGTTTACTTCCAGAAAGGTGGGTTTGGAGCAAATCCACCCAGCCCAGACCCTGCTCTCAGCCTCTCCTATTTGCTGATACACCTCAGATACAAGCAGAAAAATATGAGCCAGGTAACTAGAATGACAGAACAGTCTGCTCATCATGGCTGCTCCCAGCACTGGAGAGGGTGTGAGACACCAGCTGGAGATGAGATGAACCAGCCCCAGGATGTASGTTCATCACCACGGATTCAGGTAGAAGTTACGAAGAAAACAGCTCATAGCAAGTGTCATCAGGGCTGCCTCCTCATCACCTCTGTGGCTGTAGTAACTGAAGCTGATCATACCTACAAGCAAGTGCTTCTACATCACACAAAATAAATGTGATTGCCTATCCCACAGAAGAAAATGCCTGCGATAGATATCCTATGTTCTCCATTTAACCATCATGCCCTTGGCAAAACTGGTTCTACTCCCTTCCCCCTCTCCCACTGGCAAGTAGTTATGTCTTATAGGTACTTTCAAGGCTGGGAATCAAATGCCCAAAGCATGACAAGAATAGAACAGGGAACAAAATCATTGGGACATGTCTCTTCAGGTCGCTGAGCTTCAGTTTCCTTCCTAAGGGAGCTGGAGCARCACTGCCCAGCCCTGGAAATGGATTTGGCATCTACAGCTGGAAAGCGCCASGTTTTATTATTCTCATATTTCCACTAGGTTGCTGCTTACACTTACAGTGCTGCTGGCATTGAATAAAAACCCCCAGCAGTTGAATGAGTTTAACACTTCCCCCTTCCTTCTTAATATGATGAGCTTTCAAGTAACATATGCAAAGGTACATATTCACATTAACTCATGTGCTCTGCAGTCTCAACTATAGATCATGAAGTGAGACAGATCCTAGAGTTTTCACTCCAAAGGTGAAAGCTTCAGAGCTGCAGGCTTTTSTTGCCATAAAAAGGCCTGCAAGGACGAGATCCACCCAAAAGATACAAGTCTCTAGCATACCCTCTCAAAGAAGGGAAGATAAGAAAGCAGTTGAGAAAACCCCAACAATAGGTGCACCTGTGTAGTTTAAATGCCAGGCTCTGCTGGCTCCCTCTGTAATACAGCAGTTTGCCTTTCAGTTACACGACATCAAGTCAATCCAGCCCCTRTCTCTTATCAACCATACCAGTTAAGGTGGCATTTTTGGGAACTTCTCCAGCTGCCATTAACAACAATTAATTGTACTGTAAAGTTTTAAAAAGGTAGTGTGGTTTTATGTGCAAACATATCTGATGACTCTGCAAGAGCKTTAGCAACTACCTTGCCTAAGTACTGGCAAGCAGAAGTCGTGGAGTATCTAATTGCTCTCTTGTAGTATACAAAGTAACAATTTAYAATTTCAACACTCACCGTCACTGGCCCATTTAGAAAACTCCGGTGTTATTCGAGTACTGGGTGTGCCACCACTRAAAGACAAAAGGACAATATGCTAAAGGTTGAACACAGAGTTTTGCTGCTCAGGAAAAACTAACCCTTCCACCCACCACTTCTCTATCAATACTTCTATCCATCAGTCTAAGCTTCAAAATGTGAGTGCATGGCTGGTCAAAAAACATGCTCATGTTTAATGGCATCAGCGAGACTACTGCATATCTAAAGAAACTTGACAGAATTTCAAAGTGTTTTTACAAGCAACGTCCCCTCTCATGCTGTAGAGATGGGCAAACAAATCCAGGAAATGTGCAAGGAAGGACCTTGCCCAAACAGCAAAACAATGTGTTAGGTGCAAGTCACATGAAGGAACTAAGTTTCCTGGCCCCAGGTCCTCAGTTCTCTCACCAAGAACTATGTGTCCGTGGCCATTGATAACCCAGTATCTTCCTGCCAGAGTCCTGGCTGTGAAGGAGCTTCAGCAACTTTGAGGCTCTGCTGTTGGACTAGCATGGTTAGCAAATATTGAATGGACCAATGGTCTGGATCCAGTGTGGCAAATGCCACATTTCYATGGAGTGAAACCTAATTTTGAACTAGTATTTGTGACAGGCTAAGCAGTAAGAAAACTTCATTTCACTGCTCTATCAATCACTTCAACCTTGACCCCACAGGATCACTCAGTGAAAGAGATAGAGGGGTAATTTAAGCCCTGTTTTATGCAGGGCAGAGGGCTTTGAAAGCAATCCTAGCTCCCTGTTAAGACTCATTTTATTTGCCTGGAATGTTTCCCTGAGTGCCCTGAATGCTGGCTGCCTACATTCTCCACATATGTATGTGGGCAGAGCAGACATTCTGCCCCAACCCAGAGAAGGATTAGCTTGCAACTAATGTAATCAGATGCAATGAAGTCACACATGGGGTGCCAGACTCCTAMTGTGCCAACCAAGATTCTGATGGCACCACACTGTACTGCTAAGAGGCCACATTTCATCATGAAGCAAGATGCTGTATCAGGCCTTAGTACAGCACAGTTTACTCACGGCCAGAATTCACCCTCYGTCCAGCACTGGCTGGGCAATGGGGTGGCTCAGAGAGGGAGACTGTGCAAAGAGGCTTTATTGAGGCTGCACATGTAGAAATTGAGACYTACTGGACTATGCTTCTTTGTGAGTCTCTTGTTGCAACCCTTGTATTCAAGTGAACAGGTATTTTCCACAAACTAGACTCCCCACAAGTAACAAATGCAGTAATTTAGAAAGACATGATGCTTACTTTAAAACAGCACCTCGGAGCGCCTCCCTTTCTTTGGCTTCACCTGGCTCTTCTCCAGTGCAGGGGATGATGTCTGCCTCTGTGTACCTGAGCACAAAGGGTTAAGGAACGAACAGCCCTGCTGCAGACAGTGGAAAGGCTTTTGGGATAGTTAGGACACCATCTGGAATATAAAACAAATTTATTCCAACTGGGAACACCTTAAAAAAAGAGGGGCTGCTATCCATGATGGAGCTTGCTTTTAAACTCTGATTAAAGCTTTGTTTTAGGTGRAAAGAAACAGTAAAATGATGCTACAGCCTCTTGGAAAGGGAAAACCAGTTCCTGAACCCTTGCACAAATCTAACCTGTACAATTTCATGAATTCTGTTTGAAGCAGAGAGTTCTTTTAACAGTGAAGGTTGGGGCTTCAATCTTAAAGGCTGGTACAGATTTAAATAAAACCTCATTCTATAGCTATACATTGCCCCTCATCACAGCTAAGGCAGTGTCTGCCTAATGCCCTTGCAGGAATTCCTCCTTGATGCCTATTACTGCTGCTGAAGGGCAGAAGTCCACCCACAGCTCTCCCACAGCTGTGCTCAAAGAGTCTGGCTCCCAGAAAGTTCCCCAAACCTGCCTTTAATGATAGTTCTGCCCATGAACTGTCTAATGAAAGGGAAATGAAGTCAAATCTCTCAAGAGTGGAAGGCGATAGCACTTAATGCATAAAACCCTTGAAAACAAAAGGGTGTCTTGTGGAAAATAAACTCAATTCCTACCCATGAAGCAGGAAAAGCTATCCATATGGAATAAACCGGGATGGAGGCAACAGATTTGCTTATSAAACAGAATAGAGAAACAGTAACTGATCCCTTGTAATGTCTCCTATAGACTTCAGCCACATCTGAAGTAGTGCTGCATCAACAGTAGAATCTCAAAGGGAGTAACTGGGAATCCCTCCTAGTTCCAATAACAYGATAACTGGAGAAGGCTGTGACATTTCCAGTAGGGCTGGACACATATTATCCACCACTTTCCAGGGCAGATCAGATGCACCTCTGGGTTCCCTCTCAGTAAGAGCCTTTCAAAAACGATACTGTGGTTTCCCGTATTCGAGTGTGTCGTCTCCATCCACATCCAGGTCAGCGTCACTGTCTGGATTCTCCTTCCCGCTGCACATGATAAACCCAGAACCTGAAAGAAAATAAAACACATGGGTGAGCATTTGAATTGGAGCTAAGTGTAGGAGATCTCCCAAGAAAGGTGCTACAGCCAGTTTGCAGGCTGTCCTTTACTCTTAACAGCCTCATAAAAGGTGCCCTCTCCAAAGACTGCACAAGAACACTYACAGAAATGCTCTAACTTCCTACGTTTTACGCTCTATATGCCCCCCAAACACTGAAAATGGAACATTCTTGACTTTTAGCTCTCCACATGAATTATTTTAAAATTGAAGGCACTGTAAGGATCTCTCTCAAAGGCAGAAAAAACAATGAAGCAAAATAGGAAAGACTATTTTTTCACAGAAGTAGTTAATGCAAAATCTACCCCACTAGCAGCTAAGAGAAGGCCACAAGGACATTCTGAATCACTCCTTAATTTAGATGCAGAGGGCAGGAAGAGGCTAAAATAAAATTAGAAATATCTTTTCCATTTTAAAAAGCATTTAGTTATGCCTTAAATTTTTAAAATTTAAAGCATTTAAGAATGGCAAACCTGTTTCTGTGAGGGGGGGGAAAAATCATACTTCTGTCATTAATAGTTCCTTAAAAGCACTTATATGAGCAAATTGCAATGCAACTCATCAAGAGTTCTGTTCTTCCAGCACAGGTGKGTCAGGCACACATCCAGTCTCAACTCCAGCAGAAGCAAGCACTTACAGTTCCATCTGAGGCTGACTGTGCAACAATTGCCACTTTCTAACAATCAGTACATTTATTTCAGTCCCAAGCATTTTGTAAACTGAAACCAGGCTTCTTTTAATTGAATCTGCACAAACACCTACAAAGATGAATCTTCATATGGTATTTGCYGCCCAGGGTTTATTAATAGAAAGGAAACTACAGAAGGCATATTTACTCTTTATGAGAGCTAACACTGAATATGAAATTAAGCAAAGACCTCCTGAACTCTAGCATGTTGCAAAGTCCCTATTTGTGCTCATTTCTGYAGCAGATCTAAGCTGTTTGGGTACATAAGCTGTGCAGACAGAAATGTGCTCACTGCAGCTACCTCTGTGCTCCTTCACTCAGCACCCCTGCCCAGACAGCAGAGCTGGACACCTGGCTCAGACAGAGGTACCTGCTGGAGCATGAAGGACCTGGCACATCCAGAGGGCTGGTGACCTAAGTCCATGGTAGACCAGGGAGCAACCTTAACTGCAAACATTGRAAGAGTAAGGCAGATATTGCCTTGTACCAATGCCCCAAGGGGGTATGTTCCAGTACTGTGATTGTGGTTCTAAATGCAGAATACAGGCTAAAATTACTGTGGAAACACTGACTACTATATACATGTCTGAAGAATGAGGACATTCCAAAGCATTAGGAGAGCTTTTCAGGGCTACAGATGTCCAAATCTGTTCACCCCACTGGGTTCTCACCAGTACACTTAATGCAAGCCCAGAAGAATGAACTATATATCTAACAGTCTGCATCTGTGCAGAGAGCAGGGCAAAGTAAAGGTGTAATTTCCAAGGATACCATGCAGACACAGTTCTTTACTGTCGCTCTCTAGGAATGGATGCTCTAACTGATTCATTAAATCCCCAATAAAATTTGTTTATATGGATTTGATATTTCTCCTCCCTGAATATCAAGAAGGTCCTTAACGAGTGACAATTGTAGCATGACAATGATTTCAAGACTAACCTTTCCCTAGAAGCATAAACTACCTCTTACTTCAAGATAATTGCCAGCCTTAATTTTCAGCAGAGGTGTCACAACTAGCACCAACAATGAATGCAGTGTCCRTGTCTGTGGCAAGTGGGAGCCATGCCTGTAGGTCAGCCCCATGGTGTCACTGGGGCAGCCCTTTTCCAGCAGACCCTTTTCAGAGTATTTCATATACTGCCTGMACACTGCCAGCCAACATGTGTCACCAGCTGCCTCTTCTTGCTGCAATGGCTCATCCAGTAAATCTTGACTCATTCAGTTCATCACAATGTTTGGGAGAAGATTTAGAGGGGTAAGAGAGACCTGTCAAAGAAGCTGGATAGTCTTTCAAAGCTGCTTTAAAAGTCAAGAGTGGGCGATGGGGTGGTAATTTATAGGCATGGCATTTAACCTGCAGTAACACCATCCCCTGCACCTGGCATTACTTTAGCCCATCACTTCTCAAAGGCCATAAACTTTGGACACACAGGTCTTCATTTTTCTTGTAGCTGTGGGAGACACAAATCATGCAAAGCTGGAGCTGTGACTTGGCCAGTCCCAGGAGGTGATCTGAACATTAGCCAGACAATGAATACTTGGAGCAAGTGCCTTGGTAGGGGGAAGGTGGCCAAGAGTGAACGTAAATGGGACCACTCCCTGTGTAATTGTCTCTGCAAGGATGCCAAGCACACAGCAGACATGCACCTTTCCATCAATTTTGTTTCCAAGTCACTCAAGCCAACTGGTGGTTTATAGCTAGAGCTTAAGACAAGAAGATCTGCTTACTGCAATACAGTTTACAAATATTAAGGCACCTTGACTTCAGAATCCTTGTGTCCTTGCTCTCAAGACCTCTGTACTTAAGAAAATCCCTTTTAAATCTGGAAGGAAAATATTCCAGAGCTTTGGCTGAATCTAGCTCTATTGCCTAGCTGCATTGCCAGCAGGCTACTATATTTCCTGTGCAGGGAGGGTAAAGGAAAGGGTTTGGATAGTATGTGTTATAATGGAAAATACACACTGGGATGATCTGAGAGAGCCTTTCAGCCAGAGAGGATGGCACAGCAGAAAAGTTCATAGGTCAAAATGAGGGGCAGGAGAAAAGTAAATTTTCTTTTCTGATCAAATAAGGACTTCCAGACTGATGCATAAAGGAAGGCACAATAAGGTGATCCAACTCTGTTTTTCACTTAATATGGATTTTTTTTTTAATGTGATCAAGTGCAGTCCATTGCAACATGGTAAAAAACAATGATTTAGAAATTGTATGCTAAACAAAGTAAGCTCCATGAATCCAAAAAATACTGTGAATGTAAGTTGTGCTATCAGTTTTAGGACTTCAGAAGCAGTTTTAGATAAAAAGGAAAAATGAAAGCCACAAAATATGTTTCTGATGCTAATCAAAAGATCCATAAATTCCAGTACTGCTCCTGTACACTGGAAAACACTAAAGAACAGGGTGCAAAGCTTGGCCCAGCATCACCTGGGGAATGAACCACATGGCCTGCAACAAGTCCTGGGCAGCAGGGATGGATTTTGAGGCCAGTTCCAGTGGGATAGGGTTTGGTGCCACAATTTCAACCTGACCCTCCTTGTCTAACTTCCTGGGGTTGCTTCCATGCACAAAGCCAGTGAAAACACCCACRCAGCTGTTCAAATATTTGACGTCTGAACTGCTTGACATTATTCATTCATCTCAGGCTCATTCAAACCAGATTTCTGGACAAGTGCTGTTATAAATGGATTAAGAAGACCACTAAATGCAAGGAAGGCCCAAAAGGATCACACCTGCTTCTCGCTAACCCAGCCCAAATGTAAAGAGGGCTCACAACCTGCAGCTCCTGCTGGTGGTGTACACTGCCATCCAGAAGAAAGGAAAATGTGAAATGGAGCACAGAGGACAGGAGCTTCCAGAAGACCCCCTACCACTCCACTTGGGTGATTTGCAATTCAATAGTGTGCACTGGGAACAGGGAAGGGTTCCTCCAGCAAGGTTCTGCTTCTTAAGGTCACACAGTAATTCACAGCCATCAGCAACACTGCCTAGAGCAGACCTCTTAAAGCCASTGTGCTATCCAGAGGTCAATGCTTGGGACCAGAACTCTATCCCCACATGTCAACAAAGTGAAAGCCAACAACTGAATGTTAACTTGTGAGTTCGATCTAGGAATTCGTAAGACACATGATATGTTATACACAGAAGCAGCTGTGACTCTTAGGAGCTCACCCAAGGCCTGAGGAATGTAATTCCACATGTGAATTTGAAAATGCTGCTTTTAGATGAATTAAGAACAAACCCAGTGCAGATTCTTCTGTACCTTTCCTGTTCCTTGTTGAGAATTTTTTGCTCTTGCTGTGCATTTGGTATGAGGCAACCCCTTGTCATATGCTGCCAGCCCCAATACAATTAGCCTTCTGATGCTAAAGCAGCACAATTCTCTGACTGTCTTAATCCCAGCTGCCTCCTTAAGGACCAGACAAACAGGAGTGAGYAGGCAGGTCAGACACTGGGGCCATTACACAGAGAAAAAACAAAGTTACAGCTCTGTCTCCAATCCCCATTGCTCTTGTAGCCAGGTGCTCTGACAAGCAATTCCAGCACTGGTATTGAGTGGCACCTCTATAAACCCTGTGACAGTTCGGGAGACAAACTCGCCCATCAATCAGAATGTACCTATCAACATCACTTACCKAGCACTGTGTACACAGCTTTCTTTGCTTGGGCTGGCCTCAGAGCAGTCTGCCTGAGCACCAATTCAAGGTACTTTCTGAAAAAATTAGGTACTCCACACAAGCAACAGTGTTTCTGAAATACTGACTCAAAGGTTGGAAAAGCAGGAAAAATTTGCATGCCTCTGAACTGCTGCCAGCTTCAAGCACTAGCAGGCTACAGGAATCACCTGAGCTTGAGGGAGAAAACACTTCTGACTCCTTCCATGTACCTGTTAATGTCTGTAGACAAATCTCACCAGAAATCCTTTCCTTCCCCTTTTGGTAAGTCACCATAGCACTTTTCTTCCTCCTAAGTTGTCCCATATGCCTCAGCATCCTCTCTGACTTCTGCTCTGCTTCTCACATCTCACTTCCTTTGTGCAATCCTCCCAAGAGTGGCCACCTGAACAACTCTTGAGTGAATGGTGGCCCAGGCTAGGATCAAGAATCATTAACATGATACATAAGCAGATTTGCAGAACAGATAAAAGGACTCCATATTCACATCCCTCCTTYTCTCCATCGCATTCAGTGGCAGATGGTCGAAGTGACAACATATGCTGCTTCAGGTGCTGACAGCACTGCTGGCTCCTGCACAGGCATGAGCTC